GTCTTGGACAGCCCACTCAAGGATGCCAATTTCCCGGATCGACGATGGCGGCCGACGGTGTGGGGTCCCTCTCCTGGAGTATTCTTTATCCCCGATAGTGAATACGCCACACCCTTCTTGCTGCCTAAGACCTCCCCACCCTCAGAAGTCGAAGAATATTCGAGGCGGCTACCCTTGGGGTGTGGGTATGACGGCGCTGAATAAGATTGAAAAGTAGTCGAGGGGTTGGATAAATGATCCTCGATACCCGAGTGGTGGGCGCGAATCAACGACCCAACGTCGCTGCCGTCCACGTACTCGGTCACCAAACACAACTGCTCCTCGACTTCATCCATAAAAAAGTCAATATATTTAAGAATATTAGGGTGATCCAGGGACCGAAGAAATGATACCTCCGACATTGCAAAATAAATCTCCTTATCGCTGAGCCCACACAACGAAATTGCTTTGATGGCCACGTAGCATTGCGCTTGGTCCGTGCAAAGATAAACCCGGCCGAACCCGCCCTGCCCGATGAGCCTAATTGGGACGTAGTGTGGGCCCCAGTGCGTGGGCAGGGCATCAAACCCGCTCGTGTAAGGCTTCGGCTGGATCGCTGATTCATGAAAAGAGGTCGTCATTGAGCCTTTGGGGCAAGCAAAGGCCAAAGACTAAGTCAGCAAAGAGGAAATAATAGATAATTATTATGGAAGGCATCCAACTCGTCTCAGCATGCGAGTTTGGGCAAAATGATTAAAAGAGAAACAATGGGGGAAACCTAGATGGTCTTGAGATAGACCTTATTTGCTGCTGTGTAGACAAAAGAGCATGAATAAGAAATAGAAATTCATGAATGATATCGCATAACCGCCTAATCAGATAAAATTGGGGATGAAAAGGTCAAAAAAGAACAATAGAAAATTTAACTTCCCATGAGTTAATCAATATTTTCCATGTAACATTCATTATTACTTTTATTAGTTTTCCACTGTGTTCGCATGCTACTTATGCACCGATTAAATTTTTCAAATAAAAAAATTTAATTAATCATGTACATGGGGATATCGGAAAAATCGCAAGAAATCAATAATGATAACACTACAAAGAGTAATGATAACAAATAATGTCCACGCATATTTATGAAATATCAAAAAGAAAAAAAAATGTCAACTTTTAGAAATATTAGTATTACTTCAACTAAAAATTATTAAGGTGTCAAAATAGATTAAGTAGTGAATTTTTATGGGAAAAAATATTATTTAGTGTGAAAATTCTATTTATCATAATTTTTTTTGTAAATCTACCTTATAACGCACACATAAATCTTACTTTTTCCTCCTCTTTAAGTACAAAAACATGTCTTAAATTACGATACCGATCGTTTACCTCAAAGCCGTAGCCAATAACATACTTGTTGGGTCCATCCAAGCACTTATACTCAGGTTCAAACGGTACCTTACGTGCTTCGGGTGACTTGTCCATAAACACCAATGTCTTGAGGCTCTTTGGTCTATAATTATAGCTGATATAATCATATAGAAACCTCAATGTTCGCCCACTGTCGCAGACATCCTCGAGAATTAAAACATGCTTGCCGTTGAGGTTTTTAAACTTCGGTTGGGATAAAATGCTGATTGTCCCGCTGCTCGTTGTTCCATCGTCGTAGGATGCCAGACGAATGAAATCAACCACATGAGGCAAGCCATAATCCCCCAGGTATCGCACAAAATCAGCCGTAAAGATATAGCTCCCCTTTAGTACCGATAGAATAATCAACGGGTTTTCCATACTAATGGGGGCTTCCACTATGGAAGAGATCACATTCTTCTTCGCATGGTATGAATTTAGTGTATGGTATGTATTAAGATGTGTAAGATCTTTATAGTCTTCGGCGATGCGTTGAGCTAGTGTTTTCACACTTTTTTGGATAACATCCTCGGTGGCAACTACTTCGGATCCCATAGGATACTCACAGTCATTGATCACGATAATGCCCTTGTCATTAACGTGCGGCATGATGACGTGTCCGGGCTGCATCTCCCCCACCTCTTTATGGTTTTATTTTATTTGTGAAATTCCTAACTTTGTATGATGTTTTGGGAACCCATGAGGGAGAAACAAAAGCAAGTGAACTCACAGTAAATCATTCATATCGAGGTCCTCTCTCATGCATTCCGATAGATCCTGAAAAAGAGCAAACGCGCCACCTCGTGAGCATCAAAGTGCTTTATACCAGAAATGATGGGCCCCGCAAAAGTATGGCTCAGTTTTTTACCCTTACTTAATATAATGAAAATAAAACTAGATTCAACTTATCAATTTTTTCATGAAAAAAATTATACATTGTGAATCAACATGCAATGTATTTAAAAAATTATTTTATATTAAAGCTAGTGCTGAAATTTCAATTTTATTTATACTGTATAATAATAATATAAAGAAAAAAACATGCTTCTCAAATTACATAAAACTATACATTTGCTGTCCCCTTATTTTCTAAATATGAGAGCCGTTTGAATAGTACTTCTTATCTAGTTCAACCACATCACGCAGCTCACGGAAAGACTCAGCATAATCCAAACCGTAACCTACAACAAAAACATTAGGTACTGTAAAAATAGAATAATCCGGAATAAAGGGATTCTTGCGCGCATTTGGTTTGTCAAGCAATACCACAGACTTCAGAGACGCCGGCTTTTTGCTTGAAAATATGCTTTTGATATATATAAGAGATGTTGCCGTATCCACGATATCCTCCACGATCAGAACGTGCCTATTCTCAACGCTTTCCCGCACATCCAACAACAAACGCACTTGCCCAGACGTCTGCACACCACTCCCATAGGAGCTAATGCAAATAAACTCCATCTTCACAGGGATCCCCTCATCGGCCATAAATCGACAAAGATCAGCAGTAAAGAGAAAAGATCCCTTGAGAACACACACCAGTATGATCGGATTATCTGAACTAAGGTCGTAGGCCTTGTAGTCATTCGCAATCCGCTTCGCACACTCCGCCATCTTACTCAAGATCTCCCCCTCCGTGGCAATTGTGCGCACAGCCATAGGGTAGCGAACATTATCAGAGCCATTAGCTTCGGACATTGGAATGGTTTCCTTGTATTGTACGGTTTTCCTTCTTTTTTATAGTCTAAGATTGTAATGTTTATATTGAATGATATGTCCAATATATGGGATTGCTTGTGTATATGAAAAAGGTACTTTCATGAAAAAAAGAGGCATGTGTGAAGAAGAAAGAAAACAATGGTAACACATAGGAAAGAGGAGAAAGAACGTGATTGATGCCTACAAAATTCGTATAGTGTGGTGCCACAACATTGTAGTCTAGAAAAACGTGTACGATGGTACTTTTTTTTTCACGCTTTCACAGCTTTTTCTACAATTTACACAGTATAAATAATATATTATCCTCAGGCAACCTCAGTACCTATAGATATAAAAAATAGTAGATATAAATTTTGATGAGTTTCTAACGCGGTAAGAGAGAAAGTTGGGAAAGTGAAAATCCACTAAATGAATGAGAAGCATGTGCATGAAA